AACCATGTTTATCTTATAAACAATCCACAATTAATTTAAAAATAAAACAATTCAACTCAAACTTTTACCAGAATACTATTACTTTAAACAACTTAATACTATTAAAACAATAATTAACTTAATGGCATACCTTGATGTGAAAACTCTTGTGACAATCGGGCCAATCGCAGACATAGGGCTTCTCGCCGGTGTGTACCCTAAGATGTGTCAACTATTTATAAAAATCAAAAACAAAGACATTAATTACAACCAAATCAACGATCAAAACAAACAGTGAGCGAATCAACAAAATCAACAAAATTACCAGTTTATTATTGGTGGGAAACGTGCGCTCACATCCGGGCCAATTGCAGCGACACTTCAACTGATCCCAAACGCGCCGATTCTTACGGACTCGCTTGACCGCCGATGAGGCTGCGGTCAGGGGCTGCTGGCCGTCGACGGGCACAACACCGTCGACAACGACGAGCCCATTATCATCGGCTCTTGTTTTATGTCTTCGGCGGTGAAGCGCCAACTTTTGCCGCGAGTCTGTCTTATAGTGACAGTCAGTCCAATCGCACGGCAAACACATTGAGGTCTCAATAGGCGGCGAGCGTTCAGTAGTCACGGCCTTCAGTCTCACCGTGCGTTTCGGGCGCCGACCGGTCGTCGAAGAGATCGCTTGCGGCCTGAGGTGAGTGTCTTCGGCGGGCGTATCGGTCGGCGATTTGTCCGCCAATTGATTATCGTTGTCGTCGTCGTTAACGGCGGCCACTGTAATGATAGTGATCTTGTCTTCTTCGTCATCAGCGGTTCCAACGCCGCGATTGTACTCATCGATGGACTGCCACAACAGGTCCCTCGCGGTGGCCAACTGTTGACATCGGCAGTCGGCCAATACGGACAGCATCTGGTCTTTGATGCGCTCGAGAGCGCCCACCCGTCGCTCGTAACCCTCTGTCAACTCCTTCATCCGCTGTGTCTCGCGGATCAGCTCATCGGCGCTCAACTCATCCATTGTGTCTTCACTCACATCCGGTTGTCTACCATAAAGTCTTTGGTTGTCTTTGTCTTGTGATTAAACACTGGATTTAATGCATAAAAATAAAAAGTTTAAGTTTTGCTTTTGATTTTCAAATACACGAAAACAACACTAAAAACTGTAAACAAATGTTTTGCACATAAATTACGGTTTGGAAACTGAGGGTTAGTTTTTCAGTCAGTGAGGGGGGTCACAGGGTTTTGGCCAGAATATTCTTTACACGGAATTGATTAACTAGTTTATTATGAGTGGTGGTCCCCCAGTCCCGGGGGCCGGGGGGTGATGGGGCGGAGCTGGGAATTGGACCGGAATATTGACTTATATCTACTATTGCTATTAATAGTTACGTTTTATTTTTGTGTATTTAATACAATAGTATCCTGGTACTTTATCGAGAGTTTACCCGGATTTGTATCAGAGTCCTACATATAGTGGATTCTTGAAATGTTGTCATATATTTGCTCATCAAATAAATAATGTTTATACAGTTATTCAGTGTTATATCAATAGGATTTGTTGTGCCATTAAGTTAATTATTGTTTTAAATGCCTTTTTAAGCATGTGTGTTTTCATAGTATCTATATTCTGGTAAAAGTTTGAGAGTTGAATTGTTTTATTTTTTAATTAATTGTGGATTGTTTATAAGATAAACATGGTTGTGTTTTTTATTTGTAAAAATACATGTAATAAAATATTGGGTTTTATTGTTTTTTGTTTTAAATATTCATATAATTATTAATAAACGAATTTTAAAAATAATACTTTGATTTTCTAATTGTGACACAAAAAAACACAATACATATAAAAATTTAATTTTTGTATTTAAATAATTGGTCCGTCAATTGGTTCCGTTGAAAGCGTTATATATAATTAAAAATTCATAAAAATTTTATACAAAAAATAATTTCATTGACAAAAAATATTTCTAATTAAAGGCACAAATAATTTTTGATTTCATTTGTAGTTTGCGTTTAAAATGCTTTTACACATTATTTTTTTTATGAAGACATTTGATTAATAATGCACTTATAATTGTGACAACAATTTATATTTAGTTAAAAATATAATTAAATTTATAAATTAGTTTAAAGTCCATATAATGAATGCTCAATATAGTGAACATGTAATATGTATTGTCTGTCTGTGTGTATGAATTGCCACCGTTTTAATGGTCTGTATTGTGTGTTAAATGCGGCGTTAATTATATGGTTAATTAATATATCATTTGACTGTACTATTCATATACACCTATTGCTACACAACTTAAATCAAATTAAATTAAATTATAGGCAATTCACTCACAATTAACAAAAAAAAGGCGTTAAAACATATCAAATAAAATCATTTGATTGACTAGTAATCGATGTCTAAAACATTATTTAAATTAAAATATTTAAATACATTATAATAATGAACACAAAATATGAAAACATTTAAAACAAGTGAAGCAAAACATATAGTGTGACCAAAAAACAGTGATTATTAGTAAATAATAATTAATTTAAATAATGAAATTAAAAACAATACTAATTAATACAAACGGCGTGTAATTGAAATGAAAAACAATAGGCATTGAACAAAAAAATGTGACCAAAAAACATGATAAATTAATACACATGGGCGATGTGTCCTATACCCCACAAATATCGGGGTAATTGTAATGTGTATTTAAAACATAAATTGTGAGCAAACAAACGGATCCATTGGATCCACTGATCTTTAAATAAAATACTGTTAACTTATTATTTAGGCTACATTTTAATGGGTAAAGACTATTTGAAATCGTGGTCTAATTTTTGTTGAGTATCTTTTTGGCGGCTCTAATCAATGGCGTAATCGTCGACAGACTCTCGGCCTTCATCAGGAACTGGTGTCTCAGCAGCTCTTCAGCCGACGCCCGCTTCTCCACATCGGTCTCCAGACAACTGACACAAAACAAAAACACATTTTTCTCATTATAAGCACTGTTTTTAACAATCATTTTTAAACAACAAATTTCAATACCGATCCAAAAAGTCGGCCAATTCTGGCGACAACTTCTCCCGACTCTTCACGTCGGGCTTTCCGTGGGTTGCGATCAGGTATAAGGCCTTCAGTGGTGTCTCATTAAGGTATGGCGGCTCTCCCTCTACCATCTCGATCACCATTATTCCCAAACTCCATACCTATTATTGTGAGAAAACATTTTGTGGTAAATAACTGATCATATAATTTAGATTATAATAAATATTCTGATAAAATGTATGTAAAAAAATTGCTGTGAAATTCAATCCAAAACTTAATAAAAATAAAAGTTAAACAAATTATTGAGAAACAAGAAATGAAATTCAATGAAACGATAAATTTGATGAGCATTTCATTTGAAAAACATAATAATTATCATAATTTCCACGAATAGTTAACAAACAGTTATTTTCAATAGAAAATAAAACATTAAAACAAACAGTAATTAACAAAAAGTACATAAAAATAGCAAAACATTTACATTGATTAACATAAAAACAGACAACACTTACATCAACTTTATTGCCGTATTGTTTTCTGGACACGACCTCCGGTGCCATCCAATAGGGTGTGCCGACCATTGTCTGGCGCTTCTCGTCGGGCGATATCTGGGCACAAAATCCAAAGTCCGTCACCTTAACTGATCCGTCCATTCCGAGCAATACGTTATCCGATTTGATGTCTCGGTGTATAATACCCTAAAAAGTGGACAAACAAATCACAATTAATACATAATCACTAAAACAGATCCTCAAAAACCAATCGGTGATATACTTTTGAATGAAGAAATGCCACGGCTTTGAGTGTCTCCTTACAGATGGCCGCCATCTGACTCTCTCTCATCACCGTTTCGGTGACCACGTCTGTGAGGGCCCCGCCCTCCAGGATCTCCATTATCACCCACAGGTCGTTGTCCACCAAATAACTGTCCAAATAGTTGACCAGATTTGGGTGTCTGTGTGAATGATAGACATCATTTTTAGCATCTTATTGCAAAATGAGATTATTGTTTTTTTATCAATTGCTATTAAATTGTGTAAATGTTATAATCAGTTCGTTATGTGACAAATTCATATGACATCTGAATTAAAGATTTCACTCCCACTCCATATAATTTATAAATTACTAAAAAATTTTGCAATTTTTTAAACAGAATATTCTGTTTTATTATCGAGTGCTTTAAGACATTTATAATGTATATCTTTAACATTTAAAATTGACAACAATTTATGCAATTCATTAATCAATGCTCTCTCTCTCTCTCTCTCTCTCTCTCTCTCTCTCTCTCTCTCTCTCATTGTCAAAGAGATGGTAAAAAGCGTATAAAATAGTTAGTTTGTGAGAAAAATATATAAAAACCTAATCGTATGATAAGATAACAACAAAAAGGTACGAAAAAAGTCATAGATTCAGACATTAAATGTTGAGTATTATTGATATACATTTACTGAATAACTATATTTGCAGAGATTAACAGTTAATTTTAAATGTTATAACAATTATTGTTGTCTTCAAAAGTGGAGACAAAGAAATTTTATATAACAAAACATTTTAAGATTTTTTGAACCAAACTTTGCACTTAAAATATATGCTAAATGTTTTTGAAATACATTGTAAATAGCAATTCAAAGGCAGTTTAACATTAATTTAGATATGAATTGTTTTAATGCATTTAATTAATTGTGAGATTTTGCATAAAAATCACTATATTTTTCATTCACGATAAGAGACACTCGTTGTCTGCAAATGTAATTGGGTTTTAACGACAAAAATCACATTTATTTAATAAATATTGAACATTAAAAATGCTTAAACTATGGATTATGCAAAATGAACATGATTAAATGATATTGCATAGTGCATATTGATACCTAACAAATATTACACTACAATCTCTATTTTAAATCATTACACAATTTAATTAAACAACACATCATTCCGGGGCTGAAAACCACTATAAGTAACAGACAAAACACTTACTTATTATCCTTCATGACTTTAATCTCGGTAATAATAAGCTCCTTCTTTGGCTGTTGTGCCAAATCCATTGTCTTAATGGCCACCTTATCCTGCGTTACGTTATCGACGGCGGTATACACCGTACCGGAGGCTCCGGAGCCCAACTTTTTCACAATCTTATACCTGGTCTTCGGGTTACCGCTGTTGACAATAGCCCTCAACTGAGTCATCACCTCCTCTTCGGTCAACGCCTTCGGGGCCTCGGGTTTAGGCTTACGGCGAATCTGCGGCTGATCTCCGTTATGATCACCGGCAGCGCCGGCGCCAACAGCCGGCCGTTGCGGGTCAACAACCGGGCGGTGCTGTTTGGGCGCTGTGGCCGGCGATCCGTGACCTCCCGGACCGGCCACAGGCAACGTGTTTACGTCGGCAAACATTTTCCTATTCTTCAAATCGTTGGTAATATCGGCGACCATATCGTCGTCGTTGGAGGGCTTCCGGCGGCCGCTATCGTCCAACTGGTGCTCAATCTCTTCGGTCTCGTGATCGATGGTCTCCTGATTGGCCAACCATTTCTCCTGTTTGTTACGCAGAGAGTAGTTGTAGACCTTGAGGGCGGCCATCACGGCGTCGGGATTCTCCAGCTGTTCCGTACGGGAGATGTTGGCCTCTTGGAGCAGATCCATCCACGGCGTGGGCAGTCCCTCGATCTTCCCGGTGTCGGCATTGAAGCCCACGTGAACGTTGTGTTTCACCTGAAACGGGGCGCCGATGTCCGATATG